TTACAATTTCTTCTATTTATCATTTTTTACAATTTACATCCACAAGCATGTGAATGTGCATGTGTAACTTCTCGACCGACTATTCTCGCCGAATGAAAATCTCGACCTCTTCGGCTCGTTTCGATTTCTCGCGAAGCATCGCACGCGTATCTAGAATCATCGATTCGATTCGTCGATCTCGCGCCGACCGGTTCCACAGCCAACGTAGCTCAATTTCATCCAAGACTGAGCACCGTCTGCAACGGGAACGGGGAAAAATTGGTCGGATTTTATTGGCGATCAGCCCCTCGGAGGCTGCATTCGTAATTTGTCAGGGTCACGAAGAAGGGAGCTTTGAAGATTCGCAGTCGCGAAAATCGGGAGCAAAAGGGCGGTGGCCTCGTTGCATCAACGATCGAGCGTGATCACTGTGATTTATCTTGTTCGCGGTGGCTCGTTCCCTTGCACGCTTCACTGTCAAGTCGATGCAGTTGTGTAGATGCTTTGCCAAGGATCGCGTGGTATTTAGTTTAATTGACGGTTCAGATGATTGGCCGTTGCTTTTTTTTTTTTTTTTTTTTTGAAAATTAATATTATGGTAATTGAAGTATGTACGTGTATATTAGGAATAATAGGAAATAACGATCATTGGGATTGTAATATAGGCATTTAGTCAGTGGAAAATTTTCTCGAGATTTAAAATACAGAGCAAGATGCAAGGAAATATATTGTTAGGAATACTTGTAGCAGTAATTTAAATTACTATTATTGTAATGATGTGTAATAGAAAATTAGATAATACATATAGTAACAACAAACGATAGTGTATCAAGAATCATACAACTGGCGTAAAAGAAAGTGTTGTACAATTTATCGATAATAATGTAAAAATGATAAAAAATTTTCGTTTCGCTAATTACACTTTTTTTACTTTTAAATCGATATTACGACAATCGAAGTATGAATATGTTACTCGGGAATAAGGAAGAAAAGAGAGAAATAGTAAAAATGATTTGATCGATGAAGAATTTCTTCTTAAGAAGAATTAATATTATTTACAAAAAATCGATAACTTCGAAAGCAACAGAAAAGATAATGATACAAGAATTATACAACTATCATGAAAGAGAGTATACAATAATTTAATAATTATGTAAATCAATTAAGATAAATGTTTAATCGACGACCACCCGAGACAATCGATTATATAATTATCATGAAAGAAAGTAATTGCATGTAATTTAAAATGTTAAATTAATTAAAATAGATGTCTAATCGATGACCACTTCAGACTATCACTATACAGTTGTTTTTAATTTCGAAGTCTCATCTTGTACGATGATTAAGAAAACCGGGTACAGTGGTTTATATATATTAAGTAGGCAAGATTAATTACACAAGATTGTGGTTAGCCCGACTTGCAATCTCTAACCGCGAAATAACAGTGGTTTTATTTATTTCCTTGAATCGTTTATCGAGTGAGATCGACGTTGAAATTTTTCAAATTTATCCTATCTTTCTCCTTGAAATATTCAATCATATTCTGATAATAATAATTCTAAAATGAAATCACGATAATTCATTTTCAATAATAATTTTGAATTTGAAGCGTAGATGCTACCGACAAATAAATACAAATTATTACATTATAATATAAATATAATCATACTCATTGTAATTCAACAATGGAACAATTTTTCAAAAATCACTCTGAAGTCGAGACAGTGTTTATAATAGGATTTTATATATGGAAATGAAAAGGGAAGAAAAGTAAAATAAAAATAAATGCATACATGGTGAAATAAATGCATATTAATTTATATTGCCATCTTATTATGGTTATATAATAAGTACTGAAATTTCAAGTACCATTTTTGCAGTACCATTTTTTTTTCTTTTTTGTCACAATAGACATTGATTTTATAATATAAATACTATAGATTTTATAATATAAATACTATAATATAAATACTATTATATATTATAGATTTTATAATATAAATTTTATAATATAAATACTACAGATTACATCAATTATTACATTGACGGAAATACGTTAATTTATATTATCATCTTTAATGCGTAACCGTTTTATATCAACCTTATTGCTAATTATCAGACAGTCATTAATCTCGTTACACAATTGAAAAATCTCGTTTGTCGGGCCATCGTAAGATCATCAGATTTGCTCCGCTCTTATAGGATCACGTAGATTCAACCAGGCGTGTGTGTGCGTGTGTGTGTGTGTGGCGTTTATTAACGGTGTTCACGTTCCCGCGTCGATCATCGGGATCGATGGGGTCGAGGTGAGAAGGTCAGATTTGCGATGATGGACTATGACCCCGTCGTAATCGTCAAAGCACCTCATCCAGCTGATCGACGATCCGTTTCGAGATCGATTTACGAACTCGCTACCGAGACATAATACCGATAGATTAATGATTTGATCTATTTAATTTATTTAACACCGCTTAATTTTGTACCTCTCATATTTTTTTACACAATAATAATACATGTACACTACAGATTCGAGAGGAGATTAAAAAGAAAAAAAGGAAGGAACACTACTTTATCAATTTATTATATCATCGCTTAACCATGAAAATCCAACGGTGTCTCTCCGTACGCGAGCAAACTCGGTGCTGAAGATCACGTTGCAATCGCGGTGACCACCCTGCCGAAACGGGAACGAGGAGGCGACGATTAACCCAAGGGCTAAATGGAATCATCACGGTTGGTTTGACGGCAGGACGAACGAGAACGACGACGAGATGCAACGGTACACGTTGCCAGATTCCCACGCGGTGAATCGCGAGTGCCGACTGCGCCTCGAGGAGGAAACCGCGTCGAGGAAACACGCCTCGGTGTGTGGATAATCGTGCAGACCGCGTGTCCCGTTTCCATTCGAATCGCGGAGCGTTTCCCGCGTGAAATCGGCCAATTCGTCGCCCATCCGCCGCCGGAATTGAGTCGTATAGTGTGTGTGTGTGTGTGTGTGTGTGTGACCTTCGTTGCTGGATGGTAATGACCGTGATGAAGCACTGACAAACGAATTTCCCTTCCCGTCCGTCTCTTTCGTTGGAAGAAATTTTTCTTGCATGTCAGATCGTTTGGATGTAATAATTTTGCAAATTGTATCATCTTAGCAGGGGAAGGAACATCTGTCTTCCCGACGATGAATTTCCCGGTATTAACTGTATCTCAGTTGTTCAGACAGTCTATGGATCAATAAAGATCTATGAAATCAAGGAATCGAGTGAATGAAACAATGGACGACTAATTATCCGGAGACAAATTATACAGTCCTCTTTTTTTATCCAAATAATAAACCTAACCTAAACAATAGACGCCTAATTATCCGGAAACAAATTATACGGTCCCCCTTTTTTTATACAAATAAACCTAACTTAAACGATAGACGCCTAATTATCTGGAAACAAATTATACGGTCCTCTTTTTTTATTCAAATAAACCTAACCTAAACCTAACCTAACCTGAATCTAACCTAAACCTAACCTAAACGATAGACGTCTAATTATCCGGAAACAAATTATACGGTCCTCTTTTTTTTATACAAATAAACCTAACCTGAATCTAAGCCTAACCTAAACAATAGACGCCTAATTATCCGGAAACAAATTATACGGTCCTCTTTTTTTTATCTAAATACGAGCAGTGAAATTTCGTATCGGAAATAATGTATAACCTGTAAAAGAAAAGAGGATTTATAAATTTATAAATTCTATCGCTATACTTGGCTTAAATCTTCGCAATTAATTACGAAAGTTTCAATGTTGATTGGACGTATTGTAAAAATGTTGCAATTATTTTTGAAAGGATATCCCAAGATTTCTGACAGTGTGTCAACACTGAATAAAAAATAGTTGTCGGTCAAGCCACTCAATTCTGAGATCGATACTTTTCATCAAAAAGTATGTCGAAGCTTCGTCACCTCGAGTTGCTGAATTACAACCAACTATCAGCGCATAAAAACCTCATGCCCGAAAGAGCAACGTCTGTTCTGAATCTCAGCCTCTTGAAACTCCGTCGAACCATTCCAATAGCCTCGTGAAAGCCAACAAACAAACAGCGAAAAGCTACGAAGAAAAAGAGACGAACGCGAAGAAGTAAGGAAACAAACACTCTCTCGATAAAAATCTTTCTCCGTAGTCTGTATGTTGCTCTCTCGACTCCACGAAAATACATAATTTCTCCGCTTCTGTGGCGCATTGAGA